ATGGTTTCAGTTAACAATAAGAACCCCGATTTCCATTCTACACAACTCAATTCTCATTCGCATATGGGCATATTCAAATACATATTAAAAATATTCAGATGCGAATCATGACTACTTTTATTGATCTTCATATCCACACAAAGAGAAGAACAGATTGGAAATTCTGCTAAACATCTTCATTTGTGTTCTGAGGAGGAAAGAGCATCACACAGGTTTGGAATGACATGAAGGTGAGTAAATGATGACAGACATCTTTAGTTGAACTATCCCTTGAAGAGTAAATATATCAGTCATACTTGTGAGTCATTATGTGAGTGTTCATACATGTAATCACAGCACAGACTCGCCAGCCCAGAGCACCACACATGTGAAAACGCATAACACGCTCGTACTTCTACTGACCTCAGTGAAAACGCCTGCGATCCCGGCTTGGCACGAGCCGTGTTCTTCCCCATAGGTCTTCTTATGGTCTGTGAGAGTGAGTAGGGGGACAGAGAGAGAGACAGAGAGAGAGAGAGGAAGGAAAAAAAACAACAGACCACAAATGATTTCGCTGTGAGCCTGAGCCAGCATTTACTGGAGTTCTTCCGACATTCCATATGGAGTTAGTCAAAGTCCCACCTCCATCCAAGAGGAATCTGGGGGCCGAGAGACAGACTGAGAACGACCTAGCAGCTCTCGCTCAGGAGGGCTTTGAGAACGGGGGGATCGCTGTGCTCTCCGCTTACAGAAAATATTAGGCTTGGATCCCCCCATAATGCACTGCACACACATAGAAGGCCCCCGATGGCAACTCACTGGAGTCGGGAAAAGATATGGAAGGAAATATATAACTCGGGAGCTGGACACAGAAACTAATTCTGATCAAGAATTCATGCAATTCCCTCCTTCGCTCTTTCCACAGCAAATCAAAACATCTTGTCAAATACGAGGAATCCTACTGGGATGATGAAATTCGATGCTGATGGAGGTGTTGAATTTAATATACTACAATAACATCTGTCAGAAGTATAATACGTGATGGGGGGAGCGATAAACAGCGAGCGTGAGCCAGTTCTGATATTGACAGGTGTTGATTGGCACCAGAAACAAGTTTTTGTGCATCTGTGGCATGTCGTCGATTACCACAGATAATAGTTTTGACTCATTTCACAGTTTGTAAAGATAAGAAAAAATTGTTTTTGCCATAATGCACTTTGGGGTAAAGCACTGCACTGGGATGGAAATTAAAATATACACTATTTTGAAGGTATAGCCACAAGACTCAAACATAATGCACTGTAATATGAGGCTAGTGTAAGGAAATTGCTAGCTGACCTAATCTGTGCAAAATTACATTCAATATTTCTCCTATGATCAGTATGAAATCCCTAAACACTTTTGCTTGAAATGCACAAGGAAAGGAGATATTGATGAAGAAAAACTGCCTTAATAAAAAATAACTGTGAATTCTGCTATTTAAATAAATAAATGAAAAAGTTAAATTAAAACAAATAAATAAAATAAATAAATAAAAAAAGTTTAAAATATTTTCTGTGGTATATAATAATATGCCACATATTCAAGTAAAGCTGTTAAATTTTAAACACAGAATAAACAAACAAACAAACAAACAAATAAATAAATAAATGGAAAGTTAAAACTTTTTTGTGGTATATAATATTATGTCACAAATTAAAGAAAATAATATTATGAACCTGGAACATTCTTTTAATTCTAAATAAATAAATAAATAAATGAGAAAGTAGATTTTTTTTGTGTGTGTGGTGTATAATATTATGCCACACATTCAGGTAAAATTGTTGAACCTGGAACATTCTTATAAATAAATAAATAAAGGAGAAGTTGAAATTGTTTTCTGTGGTATATATTATTTTGCCACAAATTCAGGTAAAGCTGATAAAATTATAACCCTGGAACTGTCCTTTAACAATGAGTATGTTTTGTGATCTCTCAGTATCATAAAGTTATTATTATTATTATTATTATTTCTTTTTCTTTTTTTTGAGGGGGGGTGCTTGGTGAATTCACACCAGATTCTTAATCAAATGGATTTTTAAAATATAGTAGACCTAAAGTAGGTTGGTAGCATGGTGACATAATGGTCTTTTAGACATGCACTGTGGTCATAATGTTTGCTGAATAAAGGCTAAACCGTCCTTTATCTTGATGTGCAAAGAGTCAAATATTTAACCATCATAACCCCAGATGTGTCCTCCAAACTCCCAGATGCTGTGCCCTGCCTGACGGGTCATATTTCTCTCCAGCGTGCTGCTTCTTTCTGATTCTGGAGGTGCCAGTGCTTTGATGCCAGAAAACATCAGTCTGAGGTTTTGGAGGAAGTTCAGGGCGCCATAACTCATTGTGAAGCCCATTGTGAACATGTGCCACAGTAAACAGTGTCATCTTTCCAACTTGTTCTGAGGGTTTTTAAGGCTTGGACTTGGCTGTCATTTCCATAGTCTGCTTCAGTGGAGTGTTTCCTGGACTTCTAGTTTGATGAAGACTAGAAATTCTCTAACAATAGGCCTGATTATCACTAACTACCTCACAATACATTATACAGTGTCATACATATCAAAGATTCAGTACGCACTGTAATGAATCACCGTATCATAACAGAACCACAATTTCACCGGGCATGTAGAGTGAATATGCAGGATCAGTTTCAATCTCTCACTTGACTTTAGTCCATTATGGTGCCTCATGGAAGCGGCTCTGACCACAATGAAAAACAGCGTTCTCACTTATTTAGTTGACCTGCTTTTACATTAATTGAACTGTGGTTCAATTATGGTAATTCTTGGGGTTAGAGGTTTGCTCAAATGACTAACCTTAAGTATTAGCAATAGTAGTAGTGATGTTTGCTTCAGCATTTACCACTAACACGGAAGTCGTGGCCTAATGGTTAGAGAGTCGGACTCGTAACCCAAAGGTTGCGGGATCGAGTCTCGTACCGGCAGGGATTGTAGGTGGGGGGAGTGAATGTACAGCGCTCTCTCCCACCTTCAATACCACGACTGAGGTGCCCTTGAGCAAGGCACCGAACCCCCAACTGCTCCCCGGGCGCCGCAGCAAAAATGGCTGCCCACTGCTCCGGGTGTGTGTTCACGGTGCGTGTGTGTTCACTGCTGTGTGTGTGCACTTTGAATGGGATAAATGCAGAGCACTAATTCCGAGTATGGGTCACCATACTTGGCCACATGTCACGTCACTTTCACGTCACTTTTCACTTTTTAACACCAGGGTTCTTACACCTTTTCCAAAGTAAAATTCAAGCACTTTTCAAGCACTTTCAGCGTGCATTTTCAAGATTTTCCAGCACTTTACAACTGTGGTAAAATACATGTTTACATAGGCCTACTTGAGTTCTTCAGTTTAAATCAGATTTTATTGTGCTATTAAAAAAAAAACCCCGCGCCGCATTTTGACATTGTTTTGTTTGTTTATTCAATGAAATCATAACCTTATGAAGTTTAATCGTCACATTAAGACATATGATTCTTGCCTTTCTGTCCTCAAGTTTTAAGCCCTCTTGAAATTATAATAAAGTCTTTTCTTATACCGTTTAAGGCATTTAAGTCTTTTTATGTCCTTAAATTTGAAGTAACAATGACGATTAATGTCGATTACGCTTTTGTGTGGGGGAAACGACACTTCATATTCATGACATTCTTCACATTGGTTATTTTAGTAGTATGAAAAACAAAATGGTTATTCAATTTGGGATTAAAACACAGAAAACGAGCAACAAACCTTCCCCAGCTCTCAAATGGATGATTTCAGTCTAGCACGAGCCCAATGAATCTCGCTGTCTAAACCGCAAAATGAATTTCTTGTTTACATCCTTTCTGCATTATTGTTTATGATGACAATATTCGAGAGAGTGCAGAATGCTACATTAAAATTCTTTAGCTTTAATTATTTTTTTATTTCACTTTTATTTGTATTTCAACCAACAATGCAAAAAATGACCAATGAAAGTCAATGAAAAATGACTTACTAAGTACAGGTGCATCTCAATAAATTAGAATGTCGTGGAAAAGTTCATTTATTTCAGTAATTCAACTCAAATTGTGAAACTCGTGTATTAAATAAATTCAATGCACACAGACTGAAGTAGTTTAAGTCTTTGGTTCTTTTAATTCTGATGATTTTGGCTCACATTTAACAAAAACCCACCAATTCACAACAAATGAGGCACCTGTATATTTGTCTTGTTTTCCAAATTTCTAAACATTCTTAAATCAAGATACATTCACTTGAGAAGCAAAATTACGACATTAAGTCTTGTTTATAAAATATAGTCTTGTTGTAAATAAATATACTGTATATACAGTAGTCAACATTTGAAGTGGATCAAAACCTTTCAT